ATAGTAGGCATTAAAATATTACTTATTTTGAAGGAAGAAGGAAAGGATTAGTATTGTCATTTCTGTGGAGAGAATTTCAAACATATCATCTCATTTAACTCCTGGAGTAGCATACGTAGAAACAGACTTGAGTTTAAGTAACTTGCCAACTAGTGAAATATTGAGCTGAGATTTGAACACAGGACTCTATAATTCTGTTAACTGCAAAGCCACATAAATAAAAACAGGTAAAATGCCCATAGGAAACCAGAATAAAAAATTGTAAGAGTAGAATATGCCACAGAAGGACATGTAGTCTACGTTGTTGCATCATAATTAGTATTTGTCTCTCGGTGGTAGTTGTTTTCCAGGCAACTTGTCTCATACTGAAGCGAGCTGGGCATCCGCACTGTGCAGGGCCTGAGTGTGATGTTCGTTCCTCTCTCCCCTCCAGTGTTCCACCAGCTGCGGGGAGGGCACGCAGACACGAAGCGCTGTCTGCCTGAAGGTGCTGCAGACTGGGATCTCCACTGTGGTCAGCTCCAGTCTCTGCCCCCCGCTGCCCTTCTCATCCTCTATCAGGCCCTGCATGCTGGAAGCCTGCGCAGGTGAGTAGCCGGGCTGGGGGGGGGGGGGACGCTGTTCAGAGCGGCCAAGCTGCGGGGCCTTCCCTACCCAGCCCAGGGACAGCAGGCCACAGAGCTGGGAGACCACGGCCACAGGGCACAGCTCGGGAGGAGTCTCGGCTGGCAGAAGCCGCTCGCGGAGGCCAGGCAGGGAGCTGGGCAGGCCACAGGCAGGGAGCCGGGGACCGCTCCTAATGCCAATGCCATGGCCCTGTCCATGCTGGGCCTTTGCACCCTCCAGCGATTGCTCGTGTGCTCCTCTCGAGCTGGAGCGGGCCTCCCGCTGTCCACCGCTCTGGAGCGCGGGCATGGAGGCAGGCATTGAAGGAAGGCATCTCCCTGCCTTTGTCCTCCTTCACGAGGAGCTGCCTTCCTGGCCTCCGCTGGTCCCGCAGCCCCACGGGCGGCCACGGCTCTCTGGGCGCGATGGGCCCCTGGGTGGGCGAGCGGGCACCGGCAGCAGCCCCTGAGGCCTCTCTCCCCGCTCCTCTCCAGGCCCCAGCCGCCTGCCCACCAGGCCCGGGCCGCTTATCGCGGCGGCGCGGAACGTGTACGTGCAGACACGGCGGCAGCGCAGGCTGCACTTTGCCATGGGCGGCGTGGCCTACCTGCTGCCGCGGACGGCCGTGGTGCTGCGCTGCCGCACGCGTGGGCCGCCCCGGCCGCCACTGGCGCTCACGTGGGAGAAGGACGGCCGGGCCCTTGCCAGCTCGGCGCACGTCACCGTGGCACCCTTCGGCCATCTGAAGATCCACCGCCTGCGGCCCTCGGACACCGGTGTGTACACCTGCTCGGCCGGGCCTGCGCAGGAGAGCTTTGAGGTCAGGCTCATCGGGGCCCCGGGGCGCGAGGCAGGCGAGGGGCCCAGCCCCGGCGGCCGCTATGATGACCTAGTCTCCGGGCTGCTGGCGCACGCGGGCTGGCCCGAGGCGCTCCTGGCCTCCACGGAGCTGCAGGACTCAGCTGTGCAGCGGAACGTGTCCTCAGAGCGCGCTAGCGCCGCGCAGGCCCTGTTGCGGCTCCCCGGCACCCTGGTGGCCGAGCAGAAGCGCCTGGACGATGTCCTCAGGAACCTGTCTCAGCAGCCCAAGGCGCTGCGCGAGCTCCACCGCCAGCGCCTGGTGGCCCAGCTGGCCTGGGACGTCTTCCGCAGCCGCCCCCGAGCCCAGGACGGGCCCCGGAGGCCCTCAGAGCAGCGTCTCCCTGCAGCGAGCGCCTTGCTTGGCCAAGGCCTGGGCAGGCCCCCCCGCAAGCCCACCATCCTGCGGAAGATCTCTGCAGCCCAGCAGCTCTCGGCCTCTGAGGTCGTCACCCACCTAGGGCAGACTGTAGTCCTGGCCAGCGGGACCCTGAGCGTGCTGCTGAATTGCGAGGCTGTGGGTAGCCCGAGGCCTACCATCAGCTGGGCCAGGAACGGGGAGGAGATTCGCTTCAGTGACAGGTGAGTGTGCAGCACGGCTAAGGAGGGACGGGAAAGGAAGGGTGTGCCAGGGCAGGGCTGTGGACGGGCCTCTGGAATCGCCTCTCTCGGCACTGATGCGCTGTTGAAGCAAATGGGAAGGACGACATGTTCTTATTTTTACAAGGGAAGAACAGCCCTGCCCACCCAACCTACCAGAGCCCCAGGGACAATCGAGACACTGTCTGGGTAGCCTTGACTCTCAGCAGAAAGGCACCAGGCCAAAGCATCATTGTGTACAGTGCCGACTCTGTGAGCTGGAATTGCAAAGCTTTGACAGCGGACCCTACTCCATGCATGGGGCCCCAGGGTCGACATCTGCTGCCCCCCTTAGGTGAGGCCGCCCTCCATCTGTGCGGGACAGAACCACTGTTCCAGAAGTCTTTCCTTCCCAGTGGGACCTCTTTAATCATCCTGCTGTCTCTGGATGTCTCAATGTTGATATGTCGCTGTTGGGATGACAGCAGGATCACTTACTGATCCCGTTGCATTAGCCATCTGCAATGCTAACAGCCAGCGTGGTAGGAGTAATAGCGACAGTATTTTCTGAACACTACCTGTGCACCAGGCTCTGTGCCACACTTTCAGTATACACTGTCTCTTGTGATCTCTGCGATGGCTCAAACCATAGCAATAGGTGGCGTTAGCTGAGTAACGACCATCTGCGAGGAGACTTCTGGGTCCCTTCCATTCCTTTCCTCACTTAGGGATGGCTGCCAGAGGTTAAAACCCTTCTGATGATGGTGATCCGGAGTCATGAGCTCGGCAGCTTCAGTATTATCTCTGAGTGCTCTACAGTCAGAGGTTCAGTGAGTGCGTGACTTCCGGAAAAGCTGAGTTAAAGCTAAGCAGAGACATTTACTACTGCATTTAATGTCTGTTTCTTAATTGGTCATTTTATTATAAAAACAGTAAAGAGGTATGAAACAATTCAAATGATATCATACTCTGTAAAGTCAAAAGTACAAGTCTCCTTCCCTCAAATCCTATTCCCTGAGGTCTGTCACTCTTAATAATTTGGAATACATCCACTTAGAATTTTTATATATTTTACTGTATTCTGTAAAAATATAAACATGATAAGCTTGAGTTTTTAATAGGATATTAGTCATGTTCAGAAGTTTGGCTCAGTTTTTATTTCACATGGTGAGACATTTTCAGGATAGTATGCAGATCTCCATATCACCTTTTAAACAGCTGATTACTGTTCTTGAATGCATTTATCCCCTAACTGAAAATTATTTAGGCTATTCCATTTTTTAACTCTTTTAAACATTCCAATAAGTGTTGTAACTAAGTGGAAAATATACAGTATGCAGTGCTTTTAAAGTACTCCTTTGATCACTGAACAATTTTGGGGCTTAGTAATTTTAGGAACACCAATAATTCTTGAAACAGCACTTAAGAAACACCACTTTAGCCTTTTAGTTTTTTCTTATTGGGCATTGAGATGCTAGCCCCAGTAGCTTTAAGATGGAAAGAGTTCAGTGAAATCTTGCTAGAAAAAGCCACATGGTAGCCAGCTGCTAAGAATATACAGAAAGTGTGTTGGGCTAAGACAACAGAGACTGCATGGCCAGGTCTCTGGCTGGGGGAGGGAGAGCATTAAGAGGGAAGGCATGTTGAGGCCACAGGCAGTTTTTGCCATCATAATGTTTTCCCCTAGATCTAGCCTTGAAAATGCTTTTCAGTGTATGTGAACTGCATGGTGCCAGGAAAAATAAGAAATTTGTTTCTGATGTTTGGCATAACCATTCCATTTTACTTAACTGGCTAGTAAGAAATATAGCTGGAGCTTAGCTTTCTGTACAGCTTTCCAAGTTCTGTTTGAGGAAAGAGAGTGAAGGTACTTGCTCAGAGCGTGCAGGAGCGTGCAGGGGGTGCCGTGGACTGTCGCGACCTCGTCTGTGTCACCCCTCATTGCTTGTCATCATGCCTGAGTCTGGTAGCATTCAGAAATGCGCGTGTATTTACAGCGAAGTGCCCAAGTGCCCAGTGTCAGAGTTCAGTTCGTCTGGTTTGCTCAGCCCCCAAATCCACCTTTCTGGGCGTCTGCGAGATTCAGCTGCCTTTTGCTCTGTACATCTCTGCACCTTCTTAGGGTATATTGTAAAAAACCTGAACTGGCCAGAACAGGTCATGATGAAAAGAAAGTCACTGAAAGAAGCCTGTAATATCTTCAGCTTTTAAGTAATAAAAACGTGATTTAAAAGAAATTAGTTTTATGAAAGGATCACTGACAACTCAGAGACCACTGAGTCTCATCATACGTATAATTTATTAGTTGAAATAAATTAATATGATTCTTAGAACTGTCCCCAGTTTCTGACTCCAAACTGGGTTCTTTATCCCTCTTAAATTATGGAAGCAATGACAACTCTGAGCTCAAATTGAGCAGCAAAAGAGAGTTTTATTCTTGGCCAAGAACAGAAGTAGAAGATAAATCTGCTAATCAGATTCTCTAACCACAGGTGTTGGGAAGCTTATAGATATAAGATATAAGAAATGATGGGAAGTAATAGGCTAATAAAATGAAGAAATAAACATGTCTTCTCTGGAAATAAGCAGAGATTTCCTGGAAATTTGGGTACCCCATCTTTTGCTGCTTTCATGGTTCTTCCTGGTTGTTATGGAGATTGTCGATTGTCGTGGTCATGGTGCTGGGGGAGATGGGCCCTTTGGTGTACAGATGGAATGATAGTGAAGTTAGAGGTGGTCTCATGGCACCCCTGGCAGCTGTCCTAGCAGCAAGTTTGGGCTGGCCCACCTGCAGTGACTTCCGGCCTACAGGCATCCTGTCCTGAAGGCAGGGAAGAAATTCAGCTAGGACAGGGTAACAGAAGCATATATCAACTTCTGAAGCAGTAGTTTCCAGGGTATTTTTGAGTGTGTTGTGACAGACTGGCTCATAATCCCCACTTTCTTCTTTCTTTATTCAACAAACATTCCAATTTCAGACTCCATGTTAGATTCGGAGGATGGAGGAAAAGAAGATGCATTCCTTACTGATGAAACCCAAAGTCTAGTTAGGAAGCCAAAGCAGTAAATGCAGTACTAGAAGTGCTGAGAGAGAGGTATGCATAATTATTCATTTTATAAGTGTTAAGTAATCTACCCACTGTATGGCAGTATAAATCAGTTTGCTGGCAACACTGTGATGGGCGAAGAAGAAGGAGTTTTCTTTCTCTTGGAGTTGACTCCATTTTGAGTTCTACTCAAATAGCACCAGTCAAAAAGAGCTTCCCTGGTACCCTAGGAAAAAGAGTGCCCTCCTGGCTCTGTCTCTTCACCGCTGCTGTCTTATTTATATAACTTCACCACCATCTGACTTGTCACATGCTTACTTGCTGATTGCACTCCATGAAGGCGAGACTTTCCTCACTGCTGTTTCCTCCATGCTGACAGTAATGGTCATAAATAATAGTAACCAACTGTTGAATGAATGGAGCCAGACAAATACAGAAGAGCAGACAAGAAGATATCAAATGGTGATAAGTGTTTCTGGGCAGATAATTAAACCCCAGGGGTGTAATTTGGTGCCCTGAGGAGGTTACATGTGTGCTGAGAGCTGAGTGACCAGTGACACCAAACCTTTTACAGACTGACTACCCAAACCACAACCCCAAACCACCCATTTATCACAGAGCCCCTGACACTGCAGTTAAACCTGCATATCTGATGTGCTGGAGTGATAGGCACAGCAGGGAGCAGACAAAGTAGAAACACTGCTCTCCAGGAGCAAACAACACTAGCGGGATGGTGTAGAATAAAATACCTTAGACCTTCAGTTTGTGTAAAACTGCACCTGGCAGAATTTTGCTCTTTAAACTTCTAAGTTTTTATAAAGTAAACAGAAGGGGGTTCCCAAATTTAATAATTACCAGAATAATAATTTTCTGGTAATAATAATAATTAATTAACAGAAAATTGTCAGAATGCAGATTCACAAATACTCCCCAGCCCTAGAATCTCTACCTGTGGTAGAAATGTAATGGCATTTAAACATCATCTTGTTGATGATTCTGAAACTGGAGGTCCCAGAACCACCTCTAGGAAGCACTAAGACAGGAAGAAGAGAGGAAGGTGAGTCTCAAAGTAGAACTACACACTTGCTTTTAGTTCCAGTAAAAGACTTGGTGGAAGCAGACAGAACAGGAATTGCAACATTCACTTTTCCACCCACTCTCCTGTCTTTCCTATCCTTCCTCCTAGACTACCACCAAGCCCTCTATATATGGGTTATGTTCCGTCACAGTGGGCCTTGACTCGGAGAGAGACCTGATGGGGAACACACAGGTGCCCACGTGTAGTGGAAGCAGACATAGTGGAAGTAGACCTCGGATCTATTGCCAGTTTTCTGGAAAGGCCCTGGGAGGGCTAGGGTTTACTACATGTGGCCTCCTGGCTCAGGCTGAGAGCAAAGAGGGGTAACTGCAGTGGGCTGCTCTGCACAAGCGTCAGGTGTATTCGTAAGTTCTTTCCAGGGCCTTTTGAACACAACAGAATCTGGCCCCATTTTCTTTTTGCTTTCATTGCTGCATCTTTTCAGCTGTTCCAGATCTGGAATCAATTGTTTCACCATGTTGCTGCCCTGCAAAGTCCTTCAGAAGAAAAGTATGCTAGGCTCATGTTGTGGGGCAGGTACATTAATGGAAAACATAAATATTCTGGCCTTCAGGTAGCAATTCACACCCCCAGATACTTCATATGTAGAATACTGTTTTCCATATTTAGCACCCCCAGGTTTATTAGTTATGAAATTCTTAGCTAGTCCCTTTTCATGCATATGGTGCTGGGGAGGAAACCAGGGCCTTAAAAGTGCTAGGCAAGTGCTCTTCCGCTGAGCAACACCCACAGCCCATGAACTTTTTAAAATTCTACTTAAGATTTCTGCATAATTTATTGTAGAATTAGCTTTTACTTGCCCACCTCATACTCAAGGGCTCCATGCAGCATACACTTGTCCCTGCACCCACCCCCCA